GGCAACGCTGCAGGCGTGGGGAGGAGTGGCTGGAGAGCTGCCTGGCTGAAAAGGACCTGGGGGTGTTGGTCAACAGCCGGCTGAACATGAGCCAGCAATGTGCCCAGGTGGCCAAGAGGGCCAATGGCATCCTGGCTTGTATCAGGAATAGTGTGGCCAGCAGGACCAGGGAGGTGATGGTGCCCCTGTGCTGGGCACAGGTGAGGCCACCCCTCGAGTCCTGTGTTCAGTGTTGGGCCCCTCACTACAAGAAGGACATGGAGGTGCTGGAGCGTGGCCAAAGAAGGGAAATGAAGTTGGTGAAGGGTCTAGAGAACAAGTCTTACAAGGAGCGGCTGAGGGAATTGGGGTTGTTTAACCTGGAGAAGAGAAGGCTGAGGGGAGACCTTATTGCTCTCTACAACTGCCTGAAAGGAGGTTGTAGCAAGGCAGGGGTCAGTCTCTTTTCCCAAGTAACAAGCAACAGGATAAGAGGAAACAGCCTCAACCTGTGCCAGGGGAGGTTTAGGTTGGATATTAGGAAAAATTTCTTCACCAAAAGGGCTGTCAGGCCCTGGCACAGGCTGCCCAGGGAACTGGTTGAGTCCCCATCCCTGGAGGTCTTTAAAAGCCAGGTAGATGTGGTGCTTAGGGACATGGTTTAGTGGTGGACTTGGCAGTGCTGGGTTAACGGTTGGACTCGATGATCTTAAGGGTCTTTTCCAACCTAAATGATTCTATGAATCCCATCCCCGTTCTGGACATGATTATGTCTTAAGGCCACAGGGGCACTAATAGGGGCCAGAAGTTACTTAGGACAACGCTTTGGATAAGGACACATTATTCTGTGTCAGGAAATGGTTCATGGCCCTTTTTTGTTGGGCTGTGCAGAGATAGCCTTGAGACACCTCTTGGTTGAGGCTCTATCAAGCACCTGCTCAGTTAAACCGGAGTTCATGGCCTTCTGGCCTTAGAATTCAGCCTGGCCACTTAGATTCCCACCATAACACAAGACCACCCTTTCTCAAAACTCTCATGCGATATCTAACAGGCTATTTCGGGAACACGTGATAGTAGAAAGTACCAAATACACAGGCTTTTAACACTGGCATATTATACACCACCTAGGATTATAGACAAAAGAAAAGAAAACCTATCTGCTCAACTTCCACCATTCTCAGGCATTTCAGGGCCAAATCTTGGAGAAAGAGTGGGAGAGCATTTTCTCTCTTTCAACAGCTTTATGTCTTACAAAACTGTCTCAGGAGAGACTCTACCTTTTATATCTTCCATTTCCCTTTATTATTGTGATTGTTTTCACCAGGACAGCACCATCCTTTACTAGGTGATCTGTTACCTACTCACCTACCCAGGGTGACAGGACCTTCACCATCTGCCCACACTTGGTTCTGGATATGCATGTGCCTTGTGCACACAGACTCACAGGGTGGGTTTTTTGAGGCACTCTCTGGTGCCTGTGCATCCTGAGATTCCCTGCCAAAGTAAAAGAGGTGGAGTAAAACATACGTATGTGCCCTCCACTCTCTGGAGGATTTTTCATGAGACATTTCTTCTACAGTGACAGAAATGTGCATGTTTCAATGAAAGATGAGATGCTGCCTTCTCCATGTGTCTTGAAGATGCGACTCCAGGTATATGCCTGGAGTCTTGTCTTTTGAATATTTTTAAGCCATGCAGAAGGGAGGAGTAGGATAAATAGAGCTGTAACTCTAAGAGTGGTGACAGAGCTGGGTGACAGCATGTGGCCGTACCTGCCAATTCTGTTACTCACTCTCTGCTTTCTCTCCTTCTTTCTTCCGTTTGTCTGTCTCTTTGTCTCTTTCACCAGTAGCAGCCATATTATTATACGGATGTCCTGACCGTGGGTTGCGCTGTGGGGGTCGGCTGCTGCTTTGGGACACCACTTGGAGGCAAGTGGCTGTTCTGTTTCCTTTTTCTCAGGTACCTAAATCCTCTCCTGCCTAGTCCTCTTCTCCTCTCCCCCTTTCCTGCACTGTATTTTTGATCTGTCATCTACCTTGAACAAAGAAGCTTACCTTTACTGTTACCAACCTCCCCAGCATCTCTGACACCGTCATTTTTCCACATGTTGTCAGCCTTCTGGAGGCAAGAGGGGAAGGCTCTCTAGAACAGTGGTCTCCAAATTGAGGTGTGCATACCCCAGGGGGTGCACAAGATGACCCATTGGGGTGTGGGAAGAAAATATTGGAAATTCTATTTTTTTTAATCTAAAAAAATAAGAAATTAAGGTTTACTAATATTCAGTATACGTATTGGCACTGGTGCCCGCACTCGGTCCGTATGTTGGATGGCCGCTTGTCAACATACAGTACATGAGGTGTCCTGGGTGCTGAGTTGTTCACAGTCGGTTGAGGGTTGACAGTGGTGCCCTCACTCATTTGCTCGCTTTCAGCATATTGCAATGTATTGCAATCAATGTGTGCCCACTTAAGTGGATTTACGGATTATATTATCTAGTGTTAACTAAACTAACCCTCACAAAATGGACAAGTGGCTTAAAAAGATTCCTGCAAAGAGACCGTGGATTGAAGATAATACTAATAATGCGAGCACAGACGAATGACAAGAAAATGGCAGGGCTAACACTTCTCCTGCTCCTAGTACAAGCTCTTAATCAGCCACATTACGAGGTAAAAACAATGACCAGCTAATCAGATCTGACAAGACATTGCCCAAAAAAATAAACATTATCAAAGACTACTTGAAGCAGGGATTTACATCTGCTGTCATTAACCGTGAACCTCACCCTAAGTGTATATTGTGCTTTGAGAAGTAAGCTAATGATGGTATGAAGCTGTCAGAATTAGCAAGACATTTAAAAACTAAGCATCCAGAACATGAAGACAAACCACTACATTTTTGTCAGCGACGTTTCAAGCTATATGATATTCAGTCCAGTACTTTACAAAATTTCACTGAACTTAATGATAAATGTTTAGAAGCCTCCTTTGAGGTTTCTTACTTCACAGCAAAAGACAAAAAGCCACATACCACTGGGGAAACACTTGTTCTTTCTGCCACGGTGAAAATGGCTGAAATAATAATACACAGAAAGCAATACGGCGGCAAACTAAAATGCTTTCCTTTGTCAGCAAACACTGTTGGAAGACGCATAGAAAACATTGCTGAAGACTTGAAGAAACAAGTGTCAGTACAAATTACACAGTGTGAGAGGCTTACTATGCAGCTGGATGAAAGTACAGATGTTTCTAACATGTCTCAGCTTATGGTATTTGCTAGATTCTGTTTCGGTAGTGAAATACATGAAGAACCACTTTCTGTGAGCCACTAAAGGAAAGATCTACCAGAGAAGCTATATTCTCAACAGTAAATTACTTCTTTAATAAAAATGTTCCATGGAAAAGCTGTGCAAATGTAACAACTGGTGGTGCGGCTGCTTTGACTAAGAAACGGATTTCATGGTAAGGTTACATAGATAGCACCACACCTGAAATTCATTCACTGCATCGTTCATAGGCAAGGTACTGCAGCAAAGAAACAGGAGCCAGGCGTGCACGAAGTGCTATAGGATGTCACTGATGTGGTTAATTTCATAAAAACAAGACCTTGAAACAGTAGCATCTTTACAATACTTCGTGTGAGATAGGGAGTGGCCATGAAAATCCTTCGTACCTTACAGACATTTGCTGGTTTTTAGAAGAGTTGTTGAATTTAAACACCAGTTACATCTAACAGTTACAGTAAGTGGTTGAGTGTCCATCCCTGGAGGTATTTAAAGAACGGATAGATGTGGTGCTCGAGGACATGGTATAGATGGACTTGGCAGTGATAGGTTAACGGTTGGACTCGATGATCTTAAGGGTCTTTTCCAACCTTGATGATTCTATGATATTTTTCTTTTACAAAAAGACAAGTGTTCTGAATTTGCTGATCTTTCTTTTCTGTGATTGCAAGCGTCTGTCAGTAGCATGCTACCTAGCAGTTATTTTTGAAAAAATAAACATACTTGATGTATGCCTTCAAGGTGAAAGTGATGTTCTAACAGTGGGTAAGAAAGTAACTGCTTTTCAAAAGAAATTTGTGGAAATGTTGTGAATTTGTTGCCAAATACAATGTAATTGTATCACCTACGGAAACTCACACGTGTACACTTAAAAAACTTGGAAACAGAACTTTCTAACCTGTTTAAAGATCTTCCAGATTAAGAGTTCCAGTGGGTTTTGAACCCATTTGTTAAAGATATAAGAATTCAACACCTTCTGATTAGTTTGCAAGAACAACTGATTGACATCAGGGAATATGGAAATTTACTATCCAAATTTCACCCCAAATCTTTGCATAAGTGGTGGATGGGATTGAAACAACAGGATCATGATTTAGTAAGCACAGCCAATGATGCATTTCTTGCGTTTGGATCTATGTATCTTTACGAGATATCTTTTTCAGCTATGACAGCCATTAAGACCAAGTATTGAAATAAACTGAACATAGAACCAGGCCTTTGAATCACTGTATCACACAGTGTTAAACCAAGATTTTAAAAAATAAAGAATATTTTTAGTGACAACAAAAATTTTTTCCATTAATAAATAAACCAAATGATTTAAAAAAAATTATTTCATTTTTATCTCATCCTTTTTCAATTTCTATTTTTTGCATATGTTTTATATTGTACATAATATATTAGTACAGTAGAATATGTATATAATTTTTAAATAAATACACATATATTGGGGGGTATGTGCTCAAAAATTTTTTATTGATAGGGGTGCATGATCAAAGAAGTTTGGAGACCACTGCTCTAGAAGAATATTTAGAAGCCTCTCTCATGCTTCTAACATTACACTTCCGATTCTAACTTTGCTCCCTTTCCAACTCCTTCTAGGGGTCCTTTTCAGCATTGAGGTCACTTCTACGTACTTTGCTGTGCGCAATTATTGGAGAGGTTTCTTTGCAGCTACCTTTAGTGCCTTCATTTTCCGAGTCCTTGCCGTTTGGAACAAGGATGCAGGTAAGCTAAGAACCATTCCTACTCTCTTTGTACAAAAGTTGCTCTATTAATTTATTATTTTCCATCTTCCTTAAAACCACAACCTTGTATGATATTCGAAACTTCGGCCATGACATATGACTTTCAGCAGTACAGAAGGAAAGAGAAAGGCAAATGTCGTATGTCATCAATTGCACAACCCAACCTATTCCTAGGTGTGCTGGGGATATGACTGAAAAATGACTGAATATGAGTCCTTGGCAAGTAAGAGGGCCCCTGAGGTGGGATTTTTTGCCTCTACTCAGCATAATGTCAAGGCTGCAAACATAGAGGTATCCCATCACAGAGGATGGGATACAAAGTACAGTGTATGCTGCTGCGATCTGCTGGAAATGCCATCATCTGCTTTGGTCATCTCTTGACTAGAAGCATAAAAAACAAATAGTCTAGAAAATCGAGATGATAAAATGATGAGGAGGCTGCAGGATTGGTAGGGTGTAACTGAAGGTCCTGAAAAAATAACTGTCTCATGTAACTGAAAAGCATGAGTGCAACATTTGGACAGACAGAAATAGCACAGAACAAGCTTGTTCAGGAGAGCATTAGCAGGACTACAAGTGTGGGAGCAGTGACTTTCCATTTGTGGACACTGAAATTGTAAGGGACCAACTGTATCAGCTGAATGTTCACAAGTCCATGGGGCCTGATGGGATTCATCCCAGAGTACTGAAGGAGCTAGCAGATGTTATGGCAGGACCCCTCTCAATCATCTACCAAAGGTCTTGGGAGTCTGGGCAGGTCCCTGCAGACTGGAAATGTTATTCCAACCTACAAAAAGCCAATGTTATTCCAATCTACAAAAAACGGTGTGAGGGAAGACCCAGGGAACTACAGAGCTGTTAGTCTAACCTCAGTTCGTGGAAAAATTATGAAGATCATACTGAGTATTATTGAAAGGCATTTAAAGAACAATGCAATCATCAGGCACAGTCAACATGGGTTCACAAACGGAAAATACAGTTACATGGATTAGAAATACAGACTGACGTAAGAAACCTTTCTAGAGGGGTGAACTTTTTTTTCAGAAGCAAGATGTACATGGAGGTAACTACTGCTTATCATCTCACAGTTTTGAAAAAATTATGCCAATGAAACCATAGGAGGAGATCACATTCTCACACAAAAATGAAATACATTGTTTCACACTGTGATGTCTAAGACACAAAGACATCAAAAGATATAATTTGAAGCTGCTAATATTTACCAACCATAAGAAAATCCTACAGTTTTTCATTTTTATTTTGTAAAAAATCCCCCTGCCACATTTCTTCCATCACAAAAAATAAACACCTCTATCACTTAATGTATGTTCCTCAGACTTAACATTTCTTTAAAAGAATAAATACCAAAATGAAGTAACAATTTATGCTGAGACTTTGGCAAGAAAGGACAGAAAGTAAATGTAAATGCAAGTAGTATCATTTACATTCATCACTAGCTCCATGATTGGGTACAACTTAGATTTACCTTTACATTAACATAATTCATACACTCCTTCAAACTCAGTAAACAAAACTGAGAGATGCTCTTTAAAGAAGCAAAGAGTAGAAACTGCAATGAGATTTAAGTAGTTAGAGATTACAAAATTCCTTTGAAAATCAAAATAAGGAGTGGCTATGGACTTTGAGCTTGTCTAGTTTGGAGAAAAGGAGGCTGAGGGGAGACCTCATTGCTCTCTACAGCTTCCTGAGGAGGGAATGTGGAGAGGGAGGTGCTGATCTCTTCTCCCTGGGATCCAGTGACAGGACACGTGGCAATACTTGAAAGCTGCACCAGGGGAGGTTTAGGCTGGATATTAGGAAGCATTTCTTTACTGACAGGATGGTCAAGACACTGGAACAGGCTTCCTAAAGAAGTGATTGATGCCCCAAGCCTGTCGGTGTTGAAGAGGCATTTGGACAATGCCCTTAATAACATGCTTTATGCTTTAACTTGGTCAGCCCTGGTCTGGCAGTTGGACTAGATGATCATTATACGTCCCTTCCAACTGAAATAGTCTATTCTATTCTATTCTATTCTATTCTATTCTATTCTATTCTATTCTATTCTATTCTAGATATTGTGGGAATGGCAGAAGGCTGCCATTTCTTTGTAAACGTCTTACTTATAATGTCTTTATCTTTTATTCTTGGAGTTATATCTATTTTATTGATCTGAGCTCCATGTGGGCAGTTCCCTTACTTAAAACTGCTATAACTTATGTCTCTCTTGACTTCACAGAGTTGGATTTTTTTTTTGTGCTAAAACATTATTTGGCTCGAGTAGCCTCTTGAATATAGAAAGTGGCTGCACTTTCTACTTGAATGTAGAAAGTGACTACATCTTTGTCTGTGAAACACTACCTCATAGTGAGGTGTATTCAACTGTCAGATCTGTCACAAAAAATACATCGTTCTGTTCTTTCCAGAGGAAAATATGAGAAATTCAAAGATAGATGACAGGAGAAAATCTCCTATTCTTCACTTTATCTACTTAGCTCCCTTGCTGATTTCTCAAATAATTAGAAATTAGCTTAATCCTGAAACATCTTGATTGCTGTACCTTCTTCAAAATCATCCAGACAGCTTTAATACCCACATTAATGGCTCCTTACATTCTGCTTCATTGACTGTCTGGGTTAAAAAATTCCATGATCAAATTGTCTGTGCAAAATAGTTCCTTTTCATAGTTCTGAATTTTCTTTGTCTGTGTTGCCAGTCTCCTTGTCCTTGTATTAAGGAACTAGAAACTTTTGTCTAGAGAAGTCATTCATTATTTTATGATCCTTTATCATGCCTGCTGTAACTTATCTTTCATGTCTTTTCTTGCTCATTTCCTTCTGAAAGTTCCAAGCCCGATCTTTTCAGTCTTTGTTCCTGCAAGGGCCTTCCGTAGGCTCCCTCTCTGATGTCTCTAAAGTCTTGTCTACTCCCAGAAGTTATGCACTCGGTAGATAAGCGGAAGTCTTTGTGCTAGTTTCCTGCATGGCTAAAAAAGCCTTTGTACGATGTGGGTTAATGTACTTAAAAGTGGAAGAAACAACTTCCCTTAATGTGCACTATGCATATCTGCCTGTAACGTTCATGTGAAACATGTAAACTCTTGCAAATTCATACATAATATGTGATCTAACTTTTCCGCTTAGGCAAGCATTTGCCATCTTCTTCCAGAATATTTTTGAGATAAAATGATCAGAGTTCCAAGCAGATGTGGCTATCAAATGGATTTATTGGAAGGCATTACAATACTGCAATGCAATACTGTGCATTGTAATACCATTTTTATGCAGCTTTTACACATTTCTAGCAGCTGCAGTTAGGAAAAAGGTAAAAAGACCATTTTCTTAGAGCTGTCTACACTGATCCAACTCTCTTTCTTGAAATACTATTGTTAAATTAGATTCCTTTCTAATGTATCAATAACCTTCCCCCACTATATTACTTTGCATTCATCAACACAGAACATTGCCTTTCACATGCAGTCTTCTCTGCTTCCAGTCAGGGTAAACTGATTCAGTACCACATGCAGATTTTGCTGTCTTTCTCAGAAAATTCATAATCATAGAATCATAGAAAGGTTTAGTTTGGAAGAGACCCCTGGAGCTCTCTACTCCAAAATCCTGCTTACAGCAGGCACAACTTTCCACTGCCTCTCTGGGCATCTGTTCCAGTGCTGAACCACCCCTCCAAAAAAAACCCATTTGCTCATTATATGTTGATAAAATTCCCTTGTTGCAAGTTGTGCCCATTACCTTCCTTTCTTTCACTATGTCTTTACAACTTCCCCATGAGGTAGGGGAGACTGGTGTCAGAACCCCCTTGGGCCTTCTTGTTTCCAGGCTGAGTAGAGCTAGCTCCTGCAGCCTCTCCCTGGACTGTCTTGGGGCTCACCACTGGGCTTTCTCCAGTTTTGTAACATTTCATTTGTACTGGGTTCTCTAGATGTGGCTTCTTCAATGCCATAAAGAAGGAAATAGTCACCACTGTCAACCAGCTGGTTGTGCTTTTGCTGATGCGGCCCAGGATGTGGTTAGCTTTCACTGCCACAAGGGCACATAATAAGCATCATATCCACCAGGATCCACTGGCATGAGAGCAGAGCTTTTCCTGTTCACTAGGCCACCAGACTGTACCAATACACGTGCCATTCCAGGTACAGGACTAAATATTTGTCTTTGTTGAAATTATGATGTTCGTACTGGTCAGCTCCTCCAGTTTGTGGAGGCCGCTCTGAATGAAGCCCCCCAGGTGACAAACCACCCCTTTTTCTCCCTCCCCAGTTCAGTATGGTCACTGATGAGTGAGTTCCATCCTGTCATCCAGGACATTGATGCAGATGTTAAACAGAATCAGCTCCAATATTGGCCTCTGAAGAAATCCATTCAAATCCATCCACAGGGCCCCAAGACAACAATTAGCAACTCCTGCTACATGTGTACTATGACATGTATCGTTACATGTCTGACCTGATAAACTCACTTCTTTTGTCGTTCTGGGCTAGCTTCTGATCCATGGTAATATTTTCCCTTTTGCTGTTTGATCAGTGGGCCTCTACATGAGGCTCCATAGCCTCATGTGTGACCTCTCAATAACCTAAATAAATACCATTCCCCTTAATCTGGTTTTACTCTTTTGTTCCAAAACTCCATGTCACAAAGTTTTTATTAATTTGAATTATCCTTCTGGGTTTTTTCCTTTGAGGTTCAAAACAGGTATTTCCAGGGTTGTGCTTGCTTTTAAAATCTATATGTATTTAACCAGTTTGCCAGATGCTAATGAACAGCTCTCTTTGTACTTTACCACATTGCTCCACAACCTTCTTAAACACCTAAGCTACCCGTCGGTCTCCGTCCAGTCCCTGGAAGCCCTGATGCTCATTAGAGAAGGTGGATTATTTTTTTACATAGCTCATCCACCTCATTCCTAATCTGCCTCAGATCTCAATGCCTTTTAAATCCGCAGCTCGTTTAACACCTCTTTTATCGTCATTTTTTACATCCAAGCTGCATCATTGCTACCAGGAGGGCAGGGAAGGTAGGGAAGCCATCAGAGTAGACAGGTGCAAATAAGTTGTGTAGCATCTCACCAAAATTCTTTTCTTTCTTAGACCCACAATATCTTTGTTGCCTTCTGGAGACTGATGACTTTGTTGGCTGGCTTTACACCATTATCTGTACTTTTCAAATAACATCTGGCCCATTCCAGTTGGCTGCTACAACTTAGGCCCCTGTTTGCTAATCACAGAAGACTGGAGTTCTGCAATTTGCGGGATTTCTGTTTTACCATGTCCCAAGCCTTCATCTTATTTGCCATAGTGTTTTACACCTTGCCTTCTTCCTGCTCTTTCTGATCACTTCTACACATGGCTCAGCAGTATTTTAAAGTTCAAAGCTTTTTTAAGTAGACTTTCCCATTAACTAGACTTTCCTGTTTCTTTTTACTTCTCTTAACTTTCACCTTGTAAGAGCTATGCTAAACTAGTAGAGTTTATAGCCAATGGAGGGAAAAGGGCTTAGCTATGCAGTTTCAGGATGGCTTAGTCACTCAGGAAAGAGGATGAAGATAGGTGGGATGAATCTTTCTGTAGGAATCTCTTTCTGTCTTGTGGGAGTAGAGAGGGAACCTAGGAAGAGTCAGACTAAGTGCTGTGACTGTTTCCCTTTGCCCTGGTCATCTTTGCCATGCTGTGGCAAAAATCTTTGAAAGCGAGCCCTACTATACGTTTAATGCACTGTCATGTAGTGGCTTGGACTATCTGTTTTCTCAAAGTAAATTGAGATGATCCCTTTCTTGGGCTGATTTAACAAAAAAAGAGGATATCCTGCTTTTCACCATCTTCCCTCCCTGACTGTTCTTCCACCTCTCCCTTGTACCACCTCTGTGTTCATTGGACCCCTCCATTCAACTCACTGCCTTGGCAGAGGACTAATCCAGGAAAAGAGCAGATAGGTTTTCTGATAGGTTTTAAAGAGGTAAAAGAACTCAGTGAAGGCTTTGACATGTGTCAGAGTGGGCCCAATGAGAGGGGAGAACCGTGCAACCGGGAGGGAAGGAATAGGGTGAAGAGACAGGGAGAGTAAGAGTAAGAGTTAAGTAAGTAAGTAAGAGTAAGTAACAGTAAGATCTTCCCATTTTGGATAGTAGCATGCTGTTAGACAGGCTTAGCTATCTTAGGTAATGCAACCCACGGAGATCTGATTAAATCATTGCTCTAAACCTGGTCCTGTCTGACCAATTAACAAGTAATTAATGCCTCCTGTAATTATCATGTAATGCTAGATTTTCACTGCTTCTTTTCTTTCCTCATTGGGCAAACAATTCCTTCACCCAGGGCAAGCTGGGATTTATAGCCATCCTCACTCAGCTGCATTTCCACGCTGCACTAGATTCATAATTTGTACTTCACCTATTGGCATACAGATACTTACTGTTTCCACGCAATTAGGTGCCTCCAGGTAAAGCAGGACAGGTTTCAACATCTGAGTCATTTTAGCAGTGCAACACTACCAGGATAGGTGAGCTGGAGAAGATGGTTCTTAGTGGATTTTTTCCATCTCTGATTTCTAAGACTTTCATTCTTTTGGTACCAGTCAAAAATTTTGCAGATATAACTTCAGAGAGGATCTGAGTTTTGTGTCTAGAAGGCAATCACAACTGTGTGTGACACAGCTTCTCCAGCTATGTAAGCAATGCCTGCCTCAGCCAAGAGAGTTTTGAGAGTCATTATTCCCTTTCCTCCTCTACCTCTTTCTTCTCTCACAGTTACCATCACAGCCCTGTTCAGAACGAACTTCCGCATGGATTTCCCCTTTGATCTGCAAGAGCTGCCAGCATTTGCTGTAATAGGGTAAGTTCCCGGGAGCCTGGCTCCTCGCTCTACAAAGGTTGTCATGTGAGCTCTGTTAGGAATTCTTTTGCAAAACAGTTACAGCTCTTTTAAACAGTTTGATTGTCACAATTAAGGCCTCTGCGTGTTGGGATTCCTCCTTCAGAAATGGTGCCCATGTAACACAACGGATAAGGAAGGAAATGTGGGTATTATCAAGCTGTTTGTTATTTCCTTTCCATATATCTTTTTCAGAAATTAAGTTCTGGGGGAAAAAATGTAAGTCTAGCTGAGTCTAGGTTCTGGGTATAGTTTTACTGAATGGCCTTTTAACCATGTTGATGGCATCCCCAAATGAACTGACCCAAAAAGTGCGGCCTTTTCGCTTGACAAAAATGGGACAAAAGATTTAACCAGGAAGTTTCCCTTTAAAAGGGAAAGGTTATCCTTTTCACGAGAGGTTGGTACACTTGACATGGTGGCAAGGGTAACGGAACTGTAATTGGATCCAGTGAGAAAACCAGTTACTTTATTAAGATGAGCATCGGTTTTATTTTATTCATGGAGATATCTGCGCTGGTTACACTTGTGGAGGAAATTTTGGGAAAAGAAGGAATGAGCTTAAGAAAAATTAGAAGAGAATTGGGAAATACTAGAGAAAAACTGAGTTTGGAATTGCTGTGAGGAAAAGTCTTGGGTTAGAGCTTCAGAGAGGCTCCAGGGAAATCACTGCAGAGAATTAGTGAAGGGAATACGCTGAAGGAACAAATACCTGTGCTGGCATTGTGAATACATCCTGTTGCAAGACCTGGAACCAAGACCAGAAATATAGTTAAGGTTTTCCAGCTCCTTTTAGTAGGCTGCTCTCATATTCATTTACTTGAATATGAACTCAAGTGTGATTTTTTGAAGACATCAAATATGTTGAAAATCTATGAATATACAGGAGCTTTTGCTAGTAATATGTATCCACTTTATTCTTCTCCTTAAATTACTTGCGTACTGAACTTGGGGGGATCTATTTGTTTAGACTGGCAAGGACAAAGGTAATCCTTATGATTTACAGCTTGATAGAATGCAAAACTTCTTGTCATTCTGTTTTGAACAGAGTTGGCAGAGCTGGTTTTTTGCAGTACTGTACATAGGCTAGGAAAGGAATATATGACAACTGTGAAATGCTTTCAAATGCCTGGTTGTCCAATGTGGTAGTTTAAAAGAAAAAAAGCTAAAGACTTGGATAGTCTTGGAGAAAGTCCTGATGCCAACATGGAATGCTCCAAATTCTCTTAACATTAAGTCTCAAAGTTGAACTCTCTTTCTATCCAACGTATTTCTTCACTTTCAGATAGGACAAAAAAACTGAGCCAACCCAAGCACTATCAACAGGTAGATCTTGTTCTTCTGCGTCAGCAAATGTTGTTAATTTGCAAAAGGTGTACAAGAGGAGCACTTCTCTTTTACTGACAAATGGATAGGCAGGAATGGAGGGATCTGTTTTTTAATATAAAGTATTATAAAGAAATTCAGCTCACTGTGGAGCCTTTCAGCTTATATTGCCTAAGGGACTGGTCTATTTTAACAGTAGCTAAATAGTGCTGGCTTAAAATATTTAAGAGAAGCTCATTGGACGTGTTTTTTCTGTGAACAGCTTTATATTTAGTTTAAACTTGTTTCTATGCAATTTTTAAATGATCAAGCAGGATTTTTTCAACATACAACTTTTTAAGTAAGCTAAATTAATCTTTGAATTAGATTTGGCAAAGGCCTGCATAACATATAAGAAAGGAAAATTCCGTTAAGTTGAAAAATTAATAGAATGAAAATGTTATATGTTTATCCTCAGTATTCTGAGGGCTAATTATTTGCCACATAAAATAATACTTCCCCTTACCAATTCTAAATGCTCTCTTTTTTCATTCTTTTTTTTTTTTCTTCACCTTTCACTATTAGGCCCTATTTATCCAGGTCTCATTAAGCTAGAGAGCACAAGGATCAAGGCCAGTTCTTAGACAACTATACTTTTTTTGGCTTAATTAGGATCAGAAACATAGGCCTAAGTGATCCTATAGGATCACAGAGATGACATACTTTGCTTTAGGCACAAGAGTTGCTATTACTTCTAATATTTGATGTAGGTATATAATTTTGCTGAATCAGAGTTAAACTTCCTTCATTTTTTTCTATTTCCTGTTCCAACCTGATGTCTAAGTTCTGACAATACTGGTCTTTGCCCAGTTGCTCTTCTCCAGCCCCCACTGAGATCTGTCAGTCCTTTTTTATAGATTATTTTTACGGATTATTTTATAAGTTTTTATCGATGAGATTTCCCCCTCTATGCAAGAGAAAATTTAAGTGGTAAAATGGCATTGTGTGTGACAGAGAGGCCCAAAATAATCTCTCCCCTTTTCATCAGGGAGTGAATGTCTTCAAGTGAGTTGCTGTAGCAGTAACCCTCTGGGTGACATTTAAAAGACTTCATAAAGAGCTGAAGATGAAAAACACCTAAACTCAGTTTCTTGGTTGATGGTTTGTGTATTATCTGTTGTTTGATAGCATTTTATTTCATTTTCTCCACTTTAGGATATGTTCTGGATTCCTTGGAGCATTTTTTGTTTATCTCAATCGCCAAGTGGTCCTATGCATCCGGCGCCATACAGCTCTGAGCCGGTTTCTCACCAAATAGTGAGTGCCTTTGAAGATATTCTTTTTAGGGACCAGATTTTTATACCTTACTGATATTGGATAGTAAAAAAATGCTTTCTGGAAGCTAGTAGAACTATTTCAAGTGTACGATAGTAAAAATACAAGAAACTGAAATTATATGAGAATAAGATATCTGCAAACATCAAGAGAATTTGTTCTGAGCTGGATTTTCTTCTTGACCAGCCCCAATAGTTTCGGATAGCTTCCTGATTTAGAATGGAGACTCTGTAATATTCATTAAGAGGTGTGGTGGTTTAACCCTAGTCGGCAACTAAGCACCACACAACCACTCGCTCACCCTCTGCCCGCCCCAGTGGGATGGGGGAGAGAATTGGGAAAAAAAAGTAAAAACCGTGGGTTGAGATAAAGACAGTTTAATGGGACAGCAGAGGAAGAGAAAACAATAATAATAATGATGATGATAAAAGAATATACAAAACAAGTGACGCACAATGCAATTGCTCAGCACCCACTGACTGATGCCCAGCCCGTCCCTGAGCAGCGATCGCTGCTCCCCGGCCAACTCCCCCAGTTTCTATGCTGGGCATGACGCCATATGGTATGGAATAGCCCTTGGGCCAGTCTGGGCCAGCTGTCCTGGCTGTGCCCCCTCCCAGCTCCTTGTGCACTGGGCAGAGCATGGGAAGCTGAAGAGTCCTTGATCAGTGCAAGCACTGCTCATCAACAACTAAACCATCAGTGTGTTATCAACATTATTCTCATACTAAATCCAAAACATAGCACTATGCCAGCTTCTAGAATGAAAATTAACTCTATGCCAGCCAAAACCAGGACAAGAAGACAAGGGAAACTACTGATCAGACAGAAAATGTTTTTAATTAGAAAATCAATGATTATACTTCTTAAGATCATGCTGCTTCTGCTTATTTTTTTTAGAATCTGTAAAAAATAAATTCAACATCACTTATATTTAAGAAAATGAAATACAACTGAAATCTGTGTCTTTAAAATCTAATTTTTTAAAATCAAAATGTAGGCAAAAATGTAAAGAATGTGCTGCAGCATTGCAATTACTGCATGAAGCAACCGAAAGCTGAAACTGATAGTAACCAAATGGTGTGAATTGCAGCATGGAAGAGAAATGCAAAACAAAATAGAAATCTTAGCAATAAAGGTTTTACAGGTCACTTGAAGATACTTTTTTGCCCTCTCTAATAAAGTTATAACCTCCAAAGTTATAACTTGAAGAAGAAAAGGTGGCTAACTGTAAATCTCTTCAGTCTCTTTACAGAAGAGATCTGATGCTATGAGAATTTTTTAAGTTGAGAGGTGTGGAGGACCTACATTTCTTAGCAAGTTGCAGATCTGAGCAGAAGCAAACCACTACTTAAAGAGAAGCTCAAACTAACTTAATTTATTACGTGGACGAAAAATTGTCTTTCTTCATTAAGTAGCATTACCCACAAGCACCAGCAGAGTGATCAAACAAAGTTAATAGACAAGTGGAGCAGAGCCAGAAAAGCAGGAATTTACTTTAAACTTTTGGCCAATTTCTCAGAATTTTGTAGGTTCTTAGACTGAAAGAAATTAAAGGTTATGTTTGGTCTTCCTGAATACCACAGCATCTCAGCCAGAACTTCCTGTAGGGAACACAGTAATTTGTCAGGGGAGGCCTGACGGGATTAGTCCAGGATATGAAGGCAGCTTAGAGTCATGTTGTCTTAGTGCCCATGAAGTGTCACGGTGTACCCAGAAACCCATCCTGGGACTGGACACAGCAGTAGGAAAACACAGATGGCTGCAGCTTGCTGTCCAGTTATGCCCCACTAGCCCAGCACAGCTAGACCCGCTAGCCACCAAGGACACCTTCGCAAAAATTGTGACAGTCAGCAATTCAACGGAAAGAAAAGCAGTTTTTCTCATAAGAATTACTGCGATGGGGGATGCATGCATAAATGTATAAAAAACCCCTACATATAAATACACTAGGACGGGATACATTGCATGGGGGATGAAGAGGCAAGACTGGCATAAACAGGACGAATGGAGGAGGTGCTGGCTTTTGACAATAGGTCAACACATCATTGTAAATACGCATCCCCCCCCCCCCCATGTTTTCAAGTCTGTGCATTTTTTACACCCCTCTCTCCCCCCCTCCTTTCATTT